AAACGTTCGCTAAAAACGAAAGCAAAAACAAAAAAAAAAAAGAAAATTTTTGAATTTTACATGGCATTAAATGAAAACCAATAGAACGAAAAAAATGTGATATTGTATAAACAATATATGTGAGCTTAAGATGCTAGAATGAAGTGATTTTGGAGCATCATGGTTTTTAAAGTGCAAAACCATAGTCGATACTTTGATTGAAGATAATCACTAAACAATGGCTGCCTGAAATTGCTGTTAAAAATTTGACGCCACAAGTGTTTTGCTTTAAACAGATTCAATATCATCTTAAGTTCGCACAACTAGGAAAAGTCTGATTACCCACTTAAGGTCACCTTTAAAGCACTTAGCAGATTTGCTGTTACTAGAAGCAGATGTTTTAATTGATGTTTACTAAATGTGACAGTTATATATACACAAAATTACACTTTAAAAATGCAAAAGATTGTTTTCTGAACCGCAGAAAATGATTAACAGCAACATTTACCGTATATTTCTTGGTTAAGATGCTTTAATAAGCCAATAACTAATACCATTAAAACAGAATATCGGCATATAAGGCTTTTAGCCGTTGCTCCTATCAAATTGAAAAATGATAACAGTAGGTATTATACTTTTAAAAATAACTGCTCGATAATCTGAAAACTTTAAGATTTTTAGCACTACTGATTTTGTGAAAGTTAAAATGACATGAATTACTTTTTTGGCTGAATTTTAAGAACTGAACTACGGTTTATTCAAATAAACGGGTCATAATTGACTTAACAATCACAAATAAAACCAACAAAAAAATTTTTTTACGATTTGATTTTTTGGTTTGTCGAAGCCAAGAAAAACCAAAAAATTTCACCGAGAGTAATGCACTTGGTGAACAAGTGAAAAAAATTCCAAAAATTGGTGCAACGGCGTCTGAAAGAAAGTGTCACTGTTCAAAAAACGGTTACTTTAGCAGAAAGACATGCTGGAAAGACTAAACCGTTCTTTTCAGTTTTTTTTTTTATCAATCTTTCTTATTTTCTATTTGTTTTTTTAAAACAAAGTTTTACAGTTGTTCTAAACAAAAGCTATCAGTTGTGTAAAGTACTGTAGTTCGAATCAGGTTGATCAGTGTATAGGTCGTTTACATGATTAGCCAGTTGAAAGCACCATTCTAATCATCAAATACGTAGAGAAAACTTTGAGATTGAATTTCCTGACTTGAGATATAATTATAAAGCGTGGTTTAAACTAGCCCAAAATTCTTTAGTAGTCTAATTTAATAAAATTCAGTGTTGCTAAAGAAAAAATTCAGTAATTTTTGATTCTACAGCTGAACAATATCAAACGAAAAAGTTTATAGCAAAGTATCTAATAACTTCATTACAGCAAAAATAAAACAAAATAAACAGGTTCTCAGTCACTTGTTCTGTCTATTTTAAAAAGAAATTTGATGACTCTTATTACCATAAATTTGGATATTAAGGTTACAGGAAATGGCAAAACTCATTGATGGAATCGACCTTTGCTACAACGCTTGGCATGACAGTCATCGTGTTATCACCCATTCGATGTCAGATTTTACTAACGCTGTTGTTTATGCATTCAGGTGGGGGAAGAGTAATTAGTATCATGAATCAAATTGACTGTACTTAATTTCTGCAGTTTTTAAAACTTTTTTGTTTCAGTATTTATACAACAATTGGGTACGGTAACATGGCTGCTGACACGACTGGCTGTCGTATAGCGACAATTGTCTATGGTGTCTTTGGTATACCGTTATTTTTTGCGTCAGTCAAGGAGGCCGGCAATATGTTTCGTCTTGGATTTATCTCTCTGTACAAATATATCAGAAAGTTAAGAAGAAGGAAATTTCTACTGAGTAAAGGTAATAACTAAAGAGTTAGAATTGTTTTACAACTTAAAAGCCTTTTTGTAGCAGGCGTATCAGTCACTTTTGACCGGTTTACATCAAAGAAAGAAAATAAGAAATAATTTTCGCATTAGTTTGTGCAGATTGTTATATTAGTGAGGGAAAATTAATTAAGGTCGATGCTGAACAATAGAGTAGTGTTGATCTCAGTCGGTGTACATAAGCATTATAAAATTAAAAAACCCTTTGAAAAGTTTGTGAGTTTTGCCATTATTCATGTTCGACAGGGAATGTATATAACCGGAAAATTCTCTTCATCCTGAAGCCTCATGTCTACTTTAATTTTTTCTGACAGTAAATATTCTGCAAACGTAAAAAAATTTCTTCCACAGGTTTTTGCTCAAAAAGAGACCGAGTGCTGTCAAATGTTCTGCTCATTGGCAAAAGGAGAATTTTGTTTGTTATTAGAAACTTTTTTTTCGCAGAAAAATAGGTGAAAAAAACAAAGAATAGAAGACTGAAGAAAGTTACACACAGAAGCATTCGAAAGCGACCTGCAGCGTTGCTCGTGGTGGATGACAATTTTATTCTGTGGTCTTTGAAGCGCGTTATATACCGAAGAGAGAAATGGTTCATGGTGTTATGCAGAGAAAACATTTAACGAATTGTAATGTTAGCATTCCGTAGCATAAGAAGAGCCATTAGGATCAGTACAACTAGGATCAGTACAACAAAAAAGTTGTCTTCCTAATGAAGGTGAAACTGATTGTAGCCATTAACTAGATAAACCAATTCAGATAACTAGGGTCTTATTACAGATTCTAATTTAGAAGACAATAAGAGTCACCTGTCAGGTTAACAGAGCTGTTCCTGAGAACAATCTTTTAAAAGTTTTTGGCAGCAGCAAGTCAATTTTGTGCGTAACTAGCCAACTGTAGTTAGATCTGCCAAAAGACAGCTGTCATGAAAATAATTAGACACTTCTAAAGAAATAATCTTTAGCAGTTACAAATGTAGTGCAAGTTTTCCTAACCTGATCTTAGCATAATTTGCGCTCTTCTACAGTTATTGAAACTTTTGTATAAAGTAACAAATAATAATGTGTAGAATTAACAAGAGCAATGTTTAAGCTTAAAAAATGTTGAATTTTCGCGTGCAAAATTTTCAAGAGTTTTTCAGTACTGACAACTTTTGGCTATTTGGAAATTGTCGAACCAATTTAAGTGCAACTACCGTTTTAAAAAACTTGTTCTAACTTATTGGTCAACAGTTTTAGGTGCGTTAAGCACTGTTTAATATTGTATAAATTTTCAGGTACAAAGCGAAACAAATCATCAGGTAATAATAAATCAGAGCAAATTCTGAATCATACAGTTGCGATATTTGTTGAAAGAGCTCAAGAACTAGTTGTTCATAAAAACAGCTTTGAAAGACAATTCAGTTTGGGTTCACTGCCGTCTACGAAAAGTCGTAATATCACTTTTACCGAGCAGCGACGGTTAGTAACCACATATTTACACACCTTCGACGGTTATCTTATAATTTTCTCTGAGTTAACAAAAAAATTTGGATTCAAGATATTAAATTTTTTATAGAATACAATCTAAATTTTTACATTTTAACATAATTGAAAGCTTTTCTTCTCAACCGAATACGAATGAGGTTACAATTTCTCATAATTTGAACTTGTAAAAAGTACAAATGTGACAAAAATTTTTAAATTAGTTTCTAATTCTTATGATTATTTTTTGCATAATTCTTTTTTAATTTTATCTAACTTTATAAATTTAGCTAACACGGTTAGTGCTAACTGTCAAGCAGTCAGGGTAATCAGAGTTTGAAAACAGTTATAAACAGAAATTCTACACAATGACATTTTTAGAAAACTGCTCAGTTTGGCAATGTTAATGTAAGCAAGAAAAAGATTAGAAACTTCCAATGATTGTTTAAAAAACTTATGACATTTCTCAAAAAATTGGTAATGTTATCGGATTCGATTACACTGAAGTAGAGTCAGGCTTAATATTGAACTTAAGCTTAGCGTGAGATTGAAGCTTACAAGTTTCAAACTTAAAACTAGGCTTAACTTTTGATTAAATCTTCTCTCTGACCTCTGACATTGACTAAGGTTAAAGTATGAGCTTAAGTGTTTATCAGGTCAAGCTTTTTTTTCAGCTTAACTCAAAGCTCGAGTTTAAAGTTTGGGTTGTGTTTTGGGTTAAGGTGGCACTTAGGCTTCAGCTTAGATCTGGAAACGACTTCTAGGCTTAAGTTCAAAGTTATGGTGAAACTTAAACTTAAGCTGGAATTTATTTTTAAGCATAGTTTTAGGCTTGAGTTTAAAACCTTGATTTAGGCTTATACTTACGCTCGTTTGACATTTTTGTTTTTGTTTAACCTAAATTTTATTTTTAATCAATGTATATTTATCGTATAGAATAGGTTTCAAAATTTAAATGCAATATTTTATAGTTTTTGCAGCATTTTTGATTTGTTTTAGAAATATTAAAGTGCAAAACTAAAATTTTTAGGGTATTTTTTGCTGCCGTAATTGTGTTTATGGCATACCTATTCGTAATAAGCATTCTTTTTGCAATACTTTCTGGTTGGGATTATTTCACCTCATTATATTTTCTTTTCAATAGTGTTGCATTGATCGGTAAGTGATTTTAACTTTTTATACGACAAATTAATCGTTTAAATACAATTATTATTAAAGCATGCACTAGAATGTGGTGTTATTTTACAGGTTTCTAATGTATTTTACCAGCAATTTTTTCTTTGTTGAGTAATTTCATTATAGAGTAAAAAAACGCCTAAAAATTGTTTAATTTTTTTTAATTTTTATTTTATTATTTAGTTACTGGTTTTACTTCTGTATTAAAGTTTAACCTATTTAGAGATTATTGTTTTTTATATCTTTTATTTATAGAACATTACTTGTTGCCGGAAATACCTCAAGATTTTTCGAGCAGCAACAGCTTAGTGCTGCAAAGTTTCAAGTTTCTTTTGCTAAAAAATTTTAATAAAGTCAGTCAAAAAATTAGTTAATACAAAAGAAAAAAAGACTGTAAACTAGATTGGCAAATGTAAACAAAATAAAGTTTTTTACTGAAATGATCAAACACAACCTTTACGCTCGGATATGATTTTGATATAACGAGAAATTCTTTGTGAAAGAAACTCAGATTGGTCATAGATAATTAAGAACAAATTAATAATGTTTCAGTTTTTTGACTTGAAAAAATACAAAATTTTTGGAAAATTTTTGTTGAACTGATATCTGTTAAAATTAACTTTTTGTCTCCTTCTTATTGCAACGACAACATTGCAATATGTTTTACCGCTTTATTCTAAAACGCCCAATTACGAAGAGCAAAGAAAAGTTATGTAATGTTAGCAAAAAATTTGTTTTTAGTTTGAGAAAAGTCCAAATTTACTGTTTTTTCTGCTTCTTTAGTTACTTAGAGGCAAAATTTATTTGCTGAAAACGAAATCATTATTGCTGCCGAACTGTGTCGCTGTTGTTGTTTAGGGTTTGGAGATGTATTCCCCCGAGAACCATGGATTGTGCTTCTGCATTCGCCATTGATTGTTATGGGTGTTGTACTATTTTCAATGTGTTATTTCATATTGCAAGAAGAAATTCGAGAAAAGGTATAGTTTCTATTGGCCGTAAAATAAATGTACTCAAACATTTGAATTAGCATACGTAAAAAAATTTTTGTAGTTTTTTAAAAAAAAAATTTTAAGACTGGCAAAAAACAATTTTACGGACGTTTTACCCAACTTTTACTATAGCAATTCTTCGCTGTGAATGATCTTTCTTATAGCTTGTTTAAGGTCTATAAAGTCAGAAAAAAATTTAATGTAAATCATATGCAAGAGGTGATTTGACAACGAGGGCAACCAATCAACTATCGTACATCTGCAGAAACTTTAACTTTTTTTACATTATAATAAAAATACAAAACAAAAATTTCTATAAAACTACTTATCTGGTGGTTTAGCGCAACCTGTCTCATAGAGTGAGCTAATTTTTTTTTCATATAAATTGTGTTCTATTTACAACATTTTTTACCAAAACGTGTTTTGATGCTCTGTTTTGTGAATGTTAAAACATTTTGAAGCCTATTATCAGAGCCGTAAATCAACAAGTGCGGTAAACAGCTTTTTAATCAACGTAAAATTGTATTTTATGCGCCTTTCAATGAGCAATACGTTTTGATTGTTAAATGAAAAAAACTGTTAGAAATTTTGAAAAAAAAATCTATTTGAAAAAAAAAGGGTAAAATATTCTCAAGTGACGGATGAATCAACGAAAACATTTTAAACGAATAATTTTAGCTATATGTTACTAGTATCTTTTTACACATTTCTACGATGTTTGTTTGCGAAACTGTTTATTCAAATATTCTTCTATCTTAGTCGAAGAGTTCGCCGATGGCTTTAACCCTCTATCCGCTAATTGTTGTTTAAGCCTTCGGTGTAAGCTCCCGAGTCTAGGGGATATTTCAGAAGCAGGTCGCTGTTTGCTATAGCTTACTTTTCTCTCCGTATAACTTTTACTTTAAATTTTATTCAAACATGACTTTAAAATATAATTTTTTTGTTTGGTAAAATTTTTTTAGTCTTAAACAGTCATCACAGAACTTGAGGGTATTGAACTAACCGTCATAAAAGTTTTAAGTCAAAGGTTTAATCATTGTACAGAGACATGCGAAGACCCAGTTTTTAAGAATAAATCTACTACTCATTTTTCGGAATCGACACAATAGACCGACACTTAAGCAATTTAAAAACGCTGTTGGCAAAACTGTCAACTGATTAGTAAACTGTGTTTAGTAGCAAAACGAGAACAATGCAGCAGTATAAGTGTAAAGAAAATTTTCACAATTAAGACTGATTTACTGAGTTCCAAGAAATCTTTGAAAGCATTTAACAACGCCTGATTTTACAAGCAATGTTTTAGGCATTTGAAGCATCTAGAAAAGCAAGAATGAGTATCAGTAAGTATTCGCATACGCTAATGACCCGGAATCCATGGTCTCGACGGAACTCACCGGCATTCGATAGCGGTGGGCCAAGTCCAGATTCTACGGCATTTCAACGGCAACGAAAGCGACGGCAAAGTGCACCAAACGTTTTGACAGTTCCAACATTAAATTTACCTGGGTGTACTCGTTGAAAACGCCAGTTTAATGTTGTTTGTTTTAACTGTTTGAAGAATAATTCGTTGGTAATATGTTAAGCAAATATAGTTAATCTGGTCAACAGTTGTATATGGCATAATAACAGCTTTTTTAATTGCAGTATGTTAAACCATTAATACAAACTGTGCATTTGTTTTTATAGGTAGTAAGAAATCAAAAAACAAAAAAAAAATATTATGCAAACAGAAAAGAAGTTAAAAATTGTGCTCAATTCTTGATGCTAGTCATATAACTTATTATTTTTCATTTTTTTTTATTATCGACGATAAGCTCAATTATATTATTGAAAACAGTGTTTTACAGGAACTAAAAAAGAAACTAAATAGAGCTGTAAAGTGAGAAGAATAAGACTTGGTTTTGAAAAAATTGCTTAAAACTAGATGACAAAATTTTTGTTAAACATTGAATAGCCATAAGTTGATCATCGTGACTCGTCTTCATATATATGAAACAAAGAAATAATAGTTCATCATAGCAACAGTGGTTTTTAAGAAGTTATACTGTTTGCATCAGCGTTCAAACAGATTCCTATAAATATCCAAAATAAACTGTTGTACATTTCTATTATTACTAGAAAACTAATTTTTTGATACGTCATCAGTTGAAAAAAAAAACATTGATGATGATTACCGATCTGTAATGTCTGTTGTATTTTTTTCGTTTATAAATTGTTTTTCTTTCGACGCGAGAAAATATCCTTATTTGTAGACTGAAAATACAAAGTTGTTGAATCATTCATTACCGGTTCTTGTATATTTAATCTGAAGCCTGTATTCATAAAATATTAGATGAGTTTATTAAAGAATATTGGTTGTTACTCATGTTTTGCATTGCTACACTTCTATAACATCAATAAGATTCGTCTACCTAATATTTATGTTTTATCTATAGTGACATTTAATTGAGAATTAAATGAGCATTATCGACAAAAATGTGGTCGAGAACTTTTGCTCCAAACCAAGGAATTAGCCAGATAACAAAAAATATAACCTTATTTTGTTTCTTTTTTCAGTTTTTGACTATTAGCAATATGATTAAAACAAGATTTTGAAGTTGTCAGGATAAACTTCTTACCTGTTAAGTCATCTGTCGACTGGGCATGAAAATTTTCTTGAATTTATTACCATAAAATCTATCGATGATGCTAAACTGCATCTGCATTATATCGGTTTATCACGCCTTTTTGAGGGGACTATCCATTTCGATGTTACATTAAATAAATTAGGTTTCGCAACAGGTTAAACATCAAAGAAATCCAAAAAAATTTTTTGCCGCACGGTTTTGTTACTAAAAGTTCTTAAAAAAAGAAAACTGAGGACAATAAGCACAGTTTTTTTTTTCACCGATTACTTTGCTTTCAACGATTCATAGTTATAAAGACATTAGAATATATTTTTTAAATAATTTCTCTACTATATTAATGTTAATTCAAAATGTTTTTTTTGGAAATGAACTTCTACTGTTGATAATAGAAGACGAAGAAGAAGATACTACTTTTAGGTTTTTAGCTACCAAATGTATTTTGATTTTTTTTTTCTAACCTTTAAAACTTGCCAGTACATCCTATTAGGCTGTCTAAAAAGAGCATTAAAAAGTAATAATTGGTTATAAGTACCAGCTTAACATAGCAAAACTTTGACGAGACTAAAAACATAAGATGAAGCGTTAACAATTGACAGACTTTTTCACCTTTACCACATTTTACAGTTATTTTCTTTTTTTACCTATGACTTGGTGATTTCTACTTTTTATCAAATTATTAAGTTGAATAACGCTTCAGAAAAAGAAAGTGTTCATTTTCAGAGTGTTACACAACTATCAGCAGCTGAAGTAGCTTCTTCACGCGATGTACAAGATACTGGCAGGAATCATTAAGTGCTGCAAAACGGCAACAAATTAGATACGAATAAGTAACGTCTAAGAGGGCTTTTTATAGTGGAAAAGAAATCTGCATTATTCAGTCTCATTGCATTTACAAAAATACATAAACAAAATGTAAATAAATAGAGGTATTTTCAAGCAAAATATAATATAATGCTGTGCAAATATTGTTGTTACCTTCACTTCTTTTTTTTTTCTTTTGCTTTTTCAAAGAGTGGTTGCGTCTGAGCAAATGACAGTGGTTTTTGTACATCTTTATTCTGTCCCGTCTACAAAAAAAGCTGTTTTTTACTATCTATAATTAAATGTCAACTGGTTTGCCTTTCAAATTCTGAAATTTTGCTTTATCAATAAAAGTGTATCTACAGTTGCAATTCTACCTTTTCGCCCTTCTCAGCACCTAGTATTTATTCAGCAGTCTGGCACTGATTTACTAAAACTAAAAGATTCTGCTCAACACTATTTAGATTTCGACTTATCAGAGGCGCTGACATTTCTGCATTTTCCGCTGGACTCCTCTTATTTCTTCACCCCACTCCCTACCTCCGTCGTCAACTTTAGTGTTGGTGTTGAACGTTGTTATAATTCAATGCAGTGCAGTTCTTTTGACGATAGGAGTGGTGTTGAGACGAAAAGCTCAAATTTAAAATGGTTGAAAGTTTCAAGAAATGAGTATAGTTGTGTTACTGATGTTCAATCCTTAGATTTTTTTGGAATTTGTTTTATAGAACAATCTCATGGCTTTAAAGGAGTTGCCAAGATTCACATACGTTGTTTAATTGTTTATGGCAAGCAATACGCTGTTACAACGCAGAAGAGGTTTCTATGAAAGCAACTATCCTTCTGTCTATTTCTTTCAAATTACATAGATTTTTTAAGCTGTCAAAAGTCACGACGAACATAAGAATGCAACAACACAAACTGATTGACGTATTGCAATTTTTTTTTTGAGAAAAAAAGACTACAAATTGAACGCATTTTGTTCGTCATTTGCATTTAGACTTTATTCTGAAACTGAGCACCTAATGTAGTGTATTAGGGAAAAAGAAAACAGTAAAAAATTTATTTTAACTTAAAAACTACAAAAAAATTTATTTTTTATTTGTTATTAAATTTTTAGACTTTCTTTCGAAATAAACAAGGGGTTTTTATTTGCTTGGCAGAGTTTAAAAATTAATGCAAGTTAAAAGAAACATTGCTTAAATTGCATTATAATCTTTTTTTAGATTTTATGTGATTTATTCAGTTTTGCAACATAAAAAAATTGTACCAACAAGGTTAGATGACTCAATTACACACTTATTTTTAGCACATAGTCTAATAGTTACTAAACAAAAGGATAATGGCGAGTAAAAGAATAACAATAAAATGGAGAAAAACGATGAATTTCTTAAACTTTTTCATCAAATCTGTTTCTGTAAAAGTAAAAAGAAATTTCTTTTTGAGTTTGTTAACAGAAGTGAAAAAAAATGTTTAGCTATTATTAAAAATGCTTAACGGGGAATTTCTTCTGTGTGTTTCTTTGTAAATCTTTTGATTCAAGAAGATAAAAAAAGATAAAAAAAAATAAAGATTACAAGAAAGTGTTTGGTGTGAAATTCAGGCTCATAGACAAGAGGCTTCATTGCATACTAAACGAGATTACCCGACACAGAAAGCGCAAGAAATATGTTCTTGAAGGCTTTAGTACTGTCTGTATACCAATATCGCCTTATCTACCTTTGTAAAATTTATTTTTAGAAACCGATTTGATTAGCAATTTCATAATTTTTTTATGAGGGAGTAGGGGAGCTGAGGTACTCATTTGCGACATCCTTACATAAAATTGTATTTCCGATTATACACCACTAAGTTATTCGGTAAAAAACCGTTTACTAATTTTAGACTAATCATTTGATAATTCGTGCTAATCGAATCAGTGAAGTCGAAAGAACGATATCTTAATAAAGCAGCAGCAAGAATAGTGACTATCAAATACATTAATTTTCAAGTGATATTTGTATATATTCTACTGATTAATTTATCGTTTTTGTAATGCCCAAATATAGCATTGTAAGACATCAATTGTTTTGTAAATGATGAGAAATACAGGTGCTTTTTGATTAGACCAACAATTTTGGTAATGGCTCAAACGAAAATTTAAAACTGTAGAGAATCCTCGCCAAAATTTTGTCTGTAAATCGCTAAATCCTAGTCGACCGGCTGTTGCGCAATTGAACAGCCTTCCTTAGGTGCTACTGTTGAGAGTGATAAACTGAAGTGGTTTTTAGGACAGCATTCTGTCCAGAAGTTTTCTGGTGATCTTAGAAATAATTGTAAGAGTTTACTATGAAAGAAGTAAAAAAAATTTTTTTCATATTTTTTTTTTTGTTTTGTCTTTCTTCTGTTTCGCCCCTATTCTTTCTTTCAGACTAACGATTACATCTCAAAACACATTATATACAGTGTGGATCTGATCGTAATTTATCTGCGATTTTTGTTGACCAGCAAGGAGAGACAGTTGGATAGCTGAAAAAGAAAAAAGAAAACAACAGAACTGTGGTCAAAAATTTGGGCCCGATTTCGACCGTCTCTGTCAAGTGTTCGAGACAAACGATTCAGAAACGATTATATAAGACTGCTGACCGAACGCTGAATGCTACAAATCAGTTTCAGTAAAATGCGTAGTTCATTCTACAGATTCTTACTAATTGCCCTACTTCAGCTTCATACTGCACTTACAAAGGTGATACCATTTGCCTTTTATTCTTTTATTCTTTTCTTTGTTTTTAAATCTTTTCATTTTCTCCTGAGTTTTGTTGACTTTTTTTAATTAATTCAGTTAAAAAGTTTTTCGTTTTAATTACATTGTGAAGGTTTTTTCTTGCAAAGTTCTTTCTTGAACTTTTCACAACAAACGATTTTTTTTCGAATGGGAATTTTCCGCTTAGCGAAGTTCAAAAGACTGATGTAACTGAGAAAAGTAGATTCTCTGATAAATATCTTTCCTACATATGCTACTTTAGCAACTGTTAGTTATACTACTAGATTTTATCAGAATAAAAAAAATACCATTTTTGAACTGCTTCATTTATCTGCGTTTTTTCAAGTCCTCCACTTCCATTCCTTTCTTCAGTTGCTCTCTTCTCGTACAATAATTTTATGATATAATAACAGGACCTACTCAGGAAACCCTCAAAATGTTCCTTTTGTTTGAATTTTATTTTTTTTGCTTTTTTTTCGACTTTCAGCCCGTTGAATCTAACTTGGAAACGAAGAAAAACTTAACGAAAAGTTTAGTAAATCTTTAGCCGAAAATTCCAACTGTTCAACACGATTAATACGGTGTCAATCAGTCTTATTAACTGTCTTGTGGTTTTAATAAAAAATATTTACAGCTCAATTTTACGTATGGTATTCATTCAGGATAATGTAGTAAAATATTTACAGCCTAATTTTATGTATGGTATTCTTTCAGGATAATGTAGTGACTAGGGGAAAACGATGTATATGCAATGAACCACCACCAATGCCACTGCCACAGTTCGATTGCGGATGCTACAGTCAGCTGCAGCAACAGTCACAGTTACTTGGCAGTCCTCCATCCTCTATTAGTAGCTATCCACAAGTTGCTGAAAATGGTCAAACCGTAATGAGCTATAATCAACAACAGCAACAGACTGTTTACCAGAACGGAATTCAGACGGTTCCAACAGCCCAACAAATACCATCAGCAAACGGACTGCCAGTAGCTTACAACAGTTTTAGTCGCTCACAAGCTTTTGAAAACAGCCAAATACCATACAACGGTATGCCAGTTACAGAGAACAGCCAAAATTTTCCGGATCAAATGCAACAGATGGGTTCAACGAACATGAACCTAAATGTTGGAGTACCAAGCAGCCAAAACTACGGTCCAGTAGCTGGAACATATCCGAATGTTATGCAAAGTATACCAACTCAGAACACTCAAGATAATTATAATGTCGTGGTCAAAGAGCAAAACTTGCAAAATGTACAAATGAATGGTGCTACTAATAGAATAAACAACCAAGGGGTACCCCAACATTTCTCATCTTACGTTTCACTAAATAACAATATGGGCCAATCACAAACAACAAACTTTGGACAGTCGCAACAATTGCAGTACGGCCAATCGCAAATTAACTACGGGCAAGACCAGACAAAGATGAGTTTTGGAGAAGATTCACAATCAACCTTTGGTCAACAACTACCAATCTCAAATTCTCCGCAGCCGGAACAACAAATAGGCTCACAGTCTCTCGGGTATGGTCATCAGGCAGCTGCAAGATCTTTACAACCACAGGACTGTAATAACGCTTGTTTGAATGTTTGCATGCAGGAGTGTATGAAAACAGGGCCTGCAGAAAACTGCCGATCAATGTGCGAGCAAAGCTGTGATCTTTCGTGCCACAGAAGACAAGGGGAATTCCGCGTGATCACACAACCAGCAATTCAATACGCAGGCCGCTGCACAGAAGTCTGTGAAAATAACTGTTTTAAAACGTGTGCCAGTGACAAATGCAGGGTAATTTAAAGTTCCCTAAAATGCCAAAAACTTTGAAAAATTTTCTACTTGCCTTGAATCTCGTTTTATAATATGCTTCATTTTTCAGAAACATCTGAAATTGTCGTAACTGACTTATTTAAATCTTTCTTCATGCTAGTAAAAATCTCGTGCCTGGAAACTTTTCTTCATCTAGGAAACATGTCATGATACCTGTCACACAGCATGCGAACAGCAATCTTGTCCAGATGTCTGTCAACCTCAATGTACGCCGTCCTGCGTGCTTGAAAACCAAGAACCACCACCACTAGTTGTTGTTTTGGAGAGGTCAACTGGAATGGGGAACTGTAAGGCATCGTGCCGTGAAGCTTGTCAGAAATCATGTACCAATGCTCTTTCATACCCAAGCTGTGTTGAAAAATGTGAACCAAAATGTGATGAAATATGCCAAAACGATGAAGATGGAGCAGCAACGTCAACCACAGCAGCTGCTGTCAACAACAGTCCACCACAAATGGTTCAAGTGAGATTCCAGTTTCTTTTTTTCTTTATCTTGAATACCTGCTTAGATGTAGGACAATAACTGTGACGCATTTTTGATGTTTTTTTCGACAGCAGTTTTTCTTGGGAGATCAAGCTTTGTTAGCAGGATTCCAGTCACCTCTTTACTATAGTTTATTGCCTTCGAGAATTTCAAAAACAATAAATATTGTCAGAATAATGTAAGTTTTTTATTGGTTTTTATAGCTCCAAATATTATGACACCGACAATTGTAATCAAAAAAGATTCTGTTTTTTTTTTATTAGACGCTTAAGTGCTTTCTGTTTTAGTTTAGCAGACACTGTTTGAATATTTTATATTGTACTTGAGCCAACGAAGTAGTTAAGTGCACTCTTAAGAAAGCTGAATTGAGCACTTCGAATTCATCAGTTCCCTTTTTTTCTGACGGCTATTTTGAGTTGATATACACGTTTTTAATGTTCGTCAGAACATTCCTTTGAAGTTTTTCTGCACGCAGCACATTAACCTAGTCATCGAGCTGCCACTACTCAGCTGTTCAATGCCACTATACTCTGCAGCTTCACAGTTTTCACATAAGTATTTTTGACTGGTTAAAGAGGTCGCCTGAAAGTTGATATAGCTAGTCATATGTGGCAGGGCAAGGATGAAGTCACCAAATAAAAAAAAAATGTTAATTAACACTGTGGCTGTTGAATGTATTAGCAAAAATTTTTAGTTTTGTTTCGTCAAAGCTTTTCTTATTTCATATATTGGTTTCACAACATATGCATCAATTTTTTTTTTTACTTTTTTAAGAGGCAAAAGACTTTAAATACAACCATTTTTAAACGTATCAATTAATTTGCTTTGTAGTTTCTAGACCAGAACCGCAATCTGTAATATGCAAGTTGATTACGTTAGTATAAAAGCTTGTACTGATGTCGGTGCAAAAAAAAAAACAGAATAGTTGAATATTTTAAGCCAATTTTACGAAAGGTGCTTACGATTCGTATAGCATAGAATCATAAAAACCTTCTCAAAAACTGGATGTTCAAATTTAAATTTACGCAAAGCAGCAATGTAACAGTCATTTTTTCCTTCTCAACTGCAAACTGATCATGAAAATAACCGGCAGCAGTGCTGCTAAAATTTTTTAGCTGTGGACCTCGTTAGTGTTGTTGTTTTCCATCAATGACAGCTTGATAATTAGCAACTGCTTATCATTATGTACCGGTCTACTGATTCATTTGTGTAAATAATTATGCGGGAAAGAAAAGTAAGGAAAAAAAGGGGTTTGAAATCTGTAGATGGTGACACAGTAGATTTTTACTGCTTTTTCAGGTATTCTCTTCCCTTAATCAAAGTAGCTTTGTTTGGCTATCATTCTGCTGAAAAAGCTGTCATATAAGGAGAATGACAATGTTTGAAGAATGCATTGAATTTTTAATACATTGGAAAGTATTCTTCTCTCTGTTTTTGGAAGCTATCGTTGATAGATGTGGGCCGGTACATGTCACTCGGCTGTTGGTATCTGTGGAGAAAGTTCACCGAAAAAGGGGTTTAAACTTAATTAATAATTTTAGAGGTGTTTGTTTAGTATATAATATTTGGCGTTTGAGGCTTTTTAATTTTTCTCGCCAAGCAGATTGACGTATGCTTAGAAATAATACAGCGGCCTACTAAGTCTGCTAATATTGGTTTCTATTTAATTTTGTGTGAAAATAGATCAACTTAAATGATCTATAAAACGTTCAAAACTTGTGGCTAATTTGAAGCTGAGGTTAAAAAAAGAAAACAGAAGGAAGCTTTAATAGTTATTGGTTTTTGACTTGTTAATACCCAAGAAAAGATTTCACTTCTTTTTCTTTCGAGTGTATGGCTTAATGGAGGGGGAGCATGATGATATACGATTCCAAGCTATATTCACAAAAGACTTCCGCTGACAGCTGATTACTAAAATGTAAAATGAACAGTCTAAAGAATTGAGTATTTTATTTTTGTAGGTCAAGAAAAAATACATATAGTGAACTTGTAGAAAACGGGTTTCTTTATTAACTTTAATGGCAACTTAAGAGCTGCTTGAGCAGTAGAATATATAAAATAATCGGGTATAGTAGTTGTTAATCAGCAGAAATTTCTATTTAGCCAAGTACAGTAGGCAACTACTTTACGGAAATTGTCAGCACGTAAGCAAACTTAAAGTTTAAGTGTTGTGTCCCCTCAAATTAGCTTTGGCAGTTGACACTTTAGGATCAGACGATATGACGTTAAGATCAAATAAAGGAAATATAAAAGAAATGTTTGACCAAAACCGTAAAGATAAAAAAAATTTTTCAATTTTCTTTTGCTATCAAATATGTATTTTTGCTCTCTAAAAAAACAAGAAAAATTTTTTTATTTTTAAAAGGTTATTGAAAGCAGTAGACAGTCATAAATCAGTTGATTTTTTCATATTACTTTCAATTGTCCTATAACGAACGTCAAAATGGTATCAGCATTTTCTTTTGCTGTGTGGTTGAGAGTATAAAAGTTAAACTTTTTTACACCAGTAGTGTAGACAAATGCTTACTTTGTCTTCTTTTTTTCCAGTCAACCGAAATCAATTTATATGACTGTCCTCTTTCAACTTCTACTAATTTTTACCTTCACCCCTCCAATTTTTAAAGCCCAGCTTCTGCCAGATACAAGTAGCAATATTGGAAAAAAACAATAACAGCATATATACACTAATAATTCAGTTATTTTTTTTTCCAGCAGTCATCGTGCTATGCCGAATGTGAACCGGCTTGTGACCAGCAATGTTCTAAGTCAGCAATTCCTGAAGAATGCCGATCAATCTGTAAACGTACCTGCGAATATCAGTGTATTGCACCGCAGCCATGTCCATCGTCATGCAACTTATCCTGTGTACGAAGATGTGTCGGAATTCTAAACGAGGGTGAATGCCAGCCATATTGTCACCAGACTTGTCAGCGTACTTGTCAACTTGCATCTGAATATGTTATTCCTTGTCAAAATCAACAAGCACCATGTGCTTGTCAAAAAGGCTTTGTTCAATGTGCCTCACAACAGTGTTGTGTAAGAAAGACTAAAAGAACAAAAAAGGTGAAACTGTAGTTAGTTTTTTCCTTCATTTTTTTTATTTTCGTTTTCGTTTTCTTTCACTTCTGTCACATCGGAAACGTTGACATAATTATCATAATAGATTCCTTTCGTTGGTAAGCACAGCAAGCAAAAAAAGGCAAAAAAAAAGGTGCAGAAAGAATAGAAGAAGAAATGAAAATGTAGCGGGTGGAAAAAATTGTTAAATTGTGCAGAAAAATTTAGAAAATATTTTTTTTTAGTTAATGGTTGCGCAGGGAAAAAGGTTTTTTTCAGGAAGGAAGGAAAGGAAAGGAAAATAAGAAACACTTTTTTGTTCTATAGGCTTATTATTTTTCTTTTCTGAAGAAGAAATTTTGTGTTGCATTTGATCGGCATGACAGAAAAAAAAAACTTTTTTTAGCTATGTATATTATAAATTGCTTAAGAAAACATTTTTTGGATAAATTTCACAACAAGAAAAAAGAAATTTTTTTAAAACTCAATGTGCTTGGCTACCTGCTGGCTAAATAAACTGATAGTCTAAGACGGCTGTCAGAACCTATTACTTATCACCAATAAGTTGTTTTCTTGTTGCTTTTTTCTGTTTTTATATATGTTCACCTCATTCGATGACGAGATTTTGGTCTTTTTGTGCTCTGAAAGTTGAGCTTTTTTTGTTTTTTAAAATATCATTAATTTTATTATTTCTTTACTCTCTTTTAAGCATTTGAATTTTAATGGTCATCAATTTTTTATTGTAAAATGTATGCCTTTTCTTTTCAAACAGTTATATTGCTAATATTTTTTTAAAACACTTTTCTTTCATTTGCGGCGACTTCACTATTAATAACAATAACGATAGTGCTAATGGAAACAATGATAATAATAGTGACAATAATGATAATAATAGTAGTAACAATAGTGATAACAATTAATAATAAATTAATTTTGGTTAAAATTTAATGTTAAAGAGTAATAACCGTTTTGAAGAATGTTTAGAGGAATCATCAGATACTGCCAGTGCTGATTTCTGTATATCTGTTCTGCTCTTCAATTTTCTTTTTCATTATAGCAATTTCTGTCTCTTCCAGCTGCAAATTTTAATACTTAACCAAAAATCATTATCTTATGTTGGCTGAACGAAGATGAAGCTAGACAGACATTTATATTGCGACGAATTGTTGATTGTACAATTTGCTGAATATTAATGTTTTGGAATGATGGATAATTTCTCATAATTGGAGTGGAAAGTTCAACTAATGCTAAAGTTCGGCAAACGCAATTGGGACAATGTTTTCCTAGTTATCACTCCCTGTTCAACACCTAGATTTTGGTGTAAAGAAATTTTTGACTATTTTCCAAATTTGACTGTGGTCTCATCTGATTATTAATATTTACGCTTAATAGAAGACTTATCAATATGGACGTTTTTGAATTATTACAGATAATGCACTGATGGTCTTATAGAGTAACCTAAAACGAGGGAGAACAGGAAAAAAAAAAGCAATGGCGTAACATATAAAATAAAACACAACAAATATCATTAAGATGTCGGAAAACCGAAATCCTGTCACATTCTGCTTTGCTGACATTTTCGCGAAGTCTCTGGGTGTACTGGAAGACGAAATGAGTTCAAAAGCAAAAAAACTTCCTGTATTACAACAATTTTTTCACTTTTATTCGCTGATGATTTGATCTGTGTTTTCTGAAGTAACAGCTAAATTAGTTCCAGTATTTTATTGGTTGCCAAAATCATCTAATCAACAGCGTTTTACAGAATTACCTAACTTGTTAATATTTTTATTGGGTAATTATACCGTAGCTATTTTTTGGCTCAATCTGTCTGTTTTCCTCCTTCTTTTTGTTCCAAAAAAGCGGTAAAGAGACGAATAACTGACTGATGGTGACGGTGAGGTGGCAAAAAAAAAGTAATACAGGAAACAGCAGTAAAGAGCTTGAATTACCGTTTTTTCGGAGAAAGGGCTTAAGACTGAGGAAGTTTGAAAAGTGCATATTCAAATTTGATCATTAGACTAGTTAACTGCGTAGGTTTCAAAGGATATTTAACCGTATGATTTATGCTAAATAAATAATGTTGAAACGGATTATCTAACAATATCAATAACTTTTTCGTTTTGTTAAGGCACGACCTCAACTATAATTCCACGTTCTGAAAAGCCAAGGTTTGGATTCTGTTTTTAGCTAATAAGTAACTAAACTGCTGATGACATTCATTAAAACATCGGCATTGATGGACACTTAGCAAAATTTTTGGCTGTTTTAGCTGTTGTCCTATTTTTGTTTTGATGGTTTTTATCTTCAGCAATTATCGTCTGCTTGGGAATCAAGATATAGACAAAAAAGGGTCCATATGAGGTGCCGAAAAAAGTGTTCAGGTTTTCACCACTGTTTTTTTCATATTATTTTCCGTTTAAATTTTGGAGAAAAAATAAGACCGAAAAAATTTTGTCTCGTTTTTTTTCTTCTGTTTTGTTTTGATAAAAGAAATAGGAAAAATTAGAATTTTTTAGCACAACATTCTACAGTATCTAAAAAAAATTCTTAGACTTTATTGTTTTTCTAATCGTTTTTTGGTTTTTTATTATACGGCGAATAATTACTTTGAATTAACAAGGAATAAAAATAAAATTGAAAATAAAGTAGGAGGGAAAAACAAGAACGAAAACTAAATCGAAAATATTGACATTCAGAAGAAATGTAATTATAACCGGCAATTAGCAGAACAGAAAAAAAATTGTTAACATGTGAAAATACAAAATTAAATTTCTTGTTCCTTAAAAAGCAATTTTTAGAAACTGCAGATACATTTTTGTGTGCTTTCATTTAGCCTGATGTCGTTTTTCCACTTCAGAATCGCCGTCATGATCTCCTCATCAAAAAAATTTTGCAACGCTTTACATGCAGCCGTATAGGTGGTGACTGTTCAGAAGTAGTAGCAAATGCTTACGAATAAAATTCGTCACTGCTATTTACTCTTTTCTGATGTCAGAAAAAAACATCAATTTTTTTTTTCTAAATTAATTTGGCAGTCTAAAAACAAAATGTGGTTTTTTTTTTTGATTACACCCTGATTTCTTTTTCTTTTAATTAGAATTTGAGCTGTAGGTAATTTCAGTTTTGCTCTACCTCACTTTGCTGTAAATTTTTTGGTAGGATTGACAGATTTGTAAGAAACTTTATTTGACCAAAAACTTAGGCAGTTTTGATGAACAAATCAGTGCTGGGGTTCGCTGTTACTGTTGGTGATACTGGCCGTTTAGCTGAAGTGATTAAATTTTTTACGACCAGCAATCAAGTTGTTTTATGCTTTTTTTCTTTTCTTGCTCTGCTTTTATTTGGTTCATAGAACTTATCAAGAAATAAGTAATATTAGCTTTTTTTCACCTGTTTTGGAGAATTATAAATTCTGGGTGATCATTAACCACTGCATAAGTGTACGTGTATGTTTCTATGTGGGTTTTCCTTCTCCTTTATTCATTATTTCGTAGTTACCCACAACGTATATTTGGTTCAAAAACATCGACAAAAACATTTCCGTAATTTCAATAAATGATGTATTTTTGACCAGAGGTTTGAAAATGCTTGTAAAAAGAAGAAAATTATTAAGTATGGAGATGTGGAGAATTTCTTCCTATATTTATTTTCTGTATTTTTCACCTCTTTTTTTCTTTTTTCTTTCGCTCTTCATTTTTTTTTTTTGGTTCTCTTTTTAGTAAATCTTTTTTTCTGAGACAACAGAAAGTAACTTTAGCAGAAATGTCAGAAATTTGCTGTTTTGCTATTTTCGGTTAGATAACAATTAGGAATGCTACAGAATTTTGAAATTTAGTTACATTTATTGAACGTTCTGCTGTTACTGATACGTTTCAGACTCCATTCACTGCATACTGCGGTCAATTTCACTGAGTGAACTATTGGTTTTGCAGATATTTCAGTTACGGAATTGTGCAGAATAAAAAACCAAAATAAAGATGCATCTCCAGTTGCCATTGTTATTATTCTTAGCAGTTATCTGTGCATATGAAATTGATGCTTCTTATGCACCATATAAAGTTAGTTCTGCTTTTTTTTTCCTTTTTTAATTTATTAAATCTTTATATTACATTTAAACCTTGAATTTTTTGTCAACTTCAAAATCCTCTTCTGGTGCTGCGTATCAGCATTTGGCTGAGCAAAACATATCACGAAGAAACAAAATTTAGTTCACAAAAATTTAAGGAATATAAACCAATTTATTCATCTAGTTTTTGCTAATTGAACTGATGAATAAATTTTTTACAATTTCAATTTTGTATTCTAAGTCATTTAATTGATTAATTGTTTTTTTTTTTTTTTTTTTTTTGTTGAAATATTTTAATGGTACATTCAAGGTTTCTGTTTTTTGAAAACTTAACAACAGCAGCAGGCGGCAGCAGCAGTAATAACAGTGGATATACCAGTCAAATTATAAACTTTACTAGTATAAGTTAGCTTATATAAACCACAAATAATTTTCAATTGATATAATAAATTAAAATGTAATTCCTTATTAACAAGAAAAGAAGAGATCAAACCAACAATTATGTGTTTTTTATCTTCTCTTTTTAGGCTATACGACCAGAAAGTAATGAGTGGTTTAACGCCAAGCGTCATTTGCCAGTTAGTATATTAAATGTTCAAACGTCAAAAACAAATCTATTCTTTCGCCTAGAATAATTTTGCTGACAAATTAAGCTAACAAGTCAGTTGACAAAAAAAAAAATTAATAAAAAAGAAATAGCATCAAAAATGTTATTTAAGTGCTTTTTTTAGATAAGTGAGAGAGAAGAATTTATAGAAATCACTAAATATCGGCCCATTTTTTTTTTCACGGTATCTGAACTGAGTTCAGACGCCAAACATTCACTTTCTAACTTTGCAGTGGCATGCTGTACCCAAACGTTCACAGGACATCGAAGTGGACGAAAGGGATTTTGTGATGGGTTTCCGAAAAAGGTCATCTCCAGGT